GGCAAGAGTGTAATCAGAGTTGTAAGTTATTGAATAGAACTTTTTTTTTTTTTTTTTTGAGACAGAGTCTCATATATTGCCTTGGGTATAGTGCCATGGTATCACAGCTCACAACAAACGCAAACTCTTGGGCATAAGTGATTCTCTTCTCTTAGCCTCCCAAGAAGCTGGGACTACAGGCACCTGCCACAACGCCCGGCTATTTTTTGGTTGCAGTTGTCGTTGTTTAGCAGGCCCAGCCTGGGCTCGAACCCGCCACCCATGGTGTATGTGGCCAGCGCCCTACTCACTGAGTTATGGGTGCTGAGCCTGAATAGAGCTTACTATTTCAAATTATCTTTCATAGCAAAGAAAAGAGAATTGGAGTGAGAATTTCTTTCTTTTTTTTTTTTTTTTTTTTTTTTGCAGTTTTGGCCAGGGCCAGACTTGAAGCCGCCACCCCTGGTATATGGGGCCAGCGCCCTACTCCTTGAGCCACAGGTGCTGCCCGAGAATGTCTTTTTTTTTTTTTTTTTTTTGGTTGCAGTTTGGCTGAGGCCAGGTTGGAACCCCCCACCCTTGGTATATGGGGTCAGTGCCCTACTCACTGAACCACAGGCACCACCCGAGGAGTGAGAATTTCAGTCCAAGTTGTGCAGGAAACAAACTCCAGTTTCAAGGCTTTTCTATGTTCCACCTGGGATGTTGTGCAGGCAGCGCTTTAACTGCTGGTGGGAAAGGGGGCATTAGAAGGTATCTGCACGTGCTTTGTCCTGTAAGTCAGCTTTTGGAGAAGAGTTTCAGAATTTTCTTTTTCTACTTTTTATTTATGGCCCCCAAATAGAGGTTTAGTTTCAGGTTCTTGGCCAGAGGCAATGGCTCACACCTGTAATCCTAGCACTCTGGGAGGCTGAGGCACGTGAATTGCCTGAGCTCAGGAGTTCCAGACCAGCCTGAGCAAGAGCGAGACCCCATCTCTAAAAATAGCGGGGTGTTGTGACAGGCGCCTGTAATCTCAGCTACTTAAGAGGCTGAGGCAAGAGGATCTCTTGAGCCCAAGAGTTTGAGGTTGCTGTGAGCTGTAACACCATTCAACCCCAGGGCAACTAGGTAAGACTCTGACACCCCCCCCCCCGCAAAAGTAAGGATCTTGATGTACATAAAGCCATGCTTCTCAGAAATTCTCATTTAAAATCTGTTTAATCTTTATGAAGGCAGAGGAGATCTTTGTACTGTAAGACTCATTTCTTCTACACTAAAGTTATACACTGACCTTCTTTTTCCTTTTTCTGTGGTGTTCGCTGTGACCAAACAAGCCACTTTTGGAAGAGCTTTAACTCCTCAGACTTCTTTCTGTGTTCTTATTCTTCGAGTACTGTTGGTCTTCAGGGAAAGGTGGGCAGATAGGCATCTGCTTTCTCTTGGTCTCTTTATTTAATTGATATCTTGGCTAATAACTTCACTTGTTTTTGTGTCAGTGTTGCTTAATGACCTTCAGCTAAAAAAGATTAGCTATTCAGAGATCCTTTCTAGTTTGGAGTTTGACCATGAACTTTAGTGTTTAAAATTTTAAATAATAGGGTAGAGCCTGTGGCTCAAAGGAGTAGAGCGCTGGCCCCATATGCCCAAAGTGGCAGGTTCAAACCCAGCCCTGGCCAAAAACTGCAAAAAAAAAAAAACTTTACATAATACCAAACATTTTGGTGACTTGTTTCTGTCCTTTCTACAGACATGCAAAAAGAAGCACAATTACCACTGAAGATGTGAAGCTGTTAGCCAGGAGGAGTAATTCACTGGTGAGAGATGAATTTCTTTCCTCACTCCCCTTTCCCATCAGAATACATTATTCCCAATTAATCACTTGAAGCCATGAAGTTATTCCCCAGGGCACCTTGCATTAACAACTAGAGATGGTTGAACCATTCAGACCTGCCTGTAATTTATAGTCTTTCTTTCATTATGATGGATCTTGCTAAGCCAATTTGAATTTTCTAATCAGCTCTCTCTGGATTTCATAATTTGCCTTTTTTGTAATATCTCAAAACTTTGGTCCTATGTTTCATTTACAATATGATGTCAGAGACTGGTCACAGGCTGGAGTCTATAGGCATAGCTTTGTTATGGTGTTCATGACTCTTCTGATGGGCCAGGTATGGAAGGCGTATCTGTATGGCTGAATGTGTAGGGAAAATAGACTTTAAAAAAATATTTTCAGGGCTCAGTGCCTGTGGCTCAAGTGGCTAAGGCAACAGCCACATACACCTAAGGTCGTGGGTTCAAATCTAGCCTGGGCCTGCCAAACAACAATGACAGCTGCAACCAAAAAATAGCTGGGCGTTGTGGCGAGTGCCTGTGGTCCCAGCTACTTGGGAGGCTGAGGCAGGAGACTCGCTTGAGCCCAGGAGTTGGAGGTTGC